GAATCTATACAGTGGGAGAAGAGAACCAATTCCTGTAAATTGTCTTTTGATATCCACTAGAATCAGATGGTTCATGCATGACACAGAACACACACAGACACACACATACACACACACACACTGTAAAAAAAAAAAAAAAGAACAGCAGAAATCCTGCTTTAAAGAGCTCTAATGATGACAGCAGGCTCATTCAGATAATCTCTACCTTGATGACCTCAGTGTCAGCTGAATAATCACCTTAATTCCATCTGTAAAACTACTTTTCTCGTGAACCACAGTCACTGAAGAGACACTGGCTCATGGTGCCTGAACAATCTCCAGGATCAGAATGGGAGATTTAGGGTCGTGCCTACTGCTGGCTCTCTTCAACATAACTGATTTTGTTCTCCTGAATCCATAAAGACATTTTAGTTTTTTATTATATTAAGGAAATATAACTTCCTTTTCATTGTCAAGAGCTCTAAGACCAAGCTGGGAAATATATTTTATGAAGGTTTAAATTTAGAATATTACCTTAGGCCAGCAACCTCTGAGCATGTCTGTCGTGTTCTGAAGACAGGTGCCTTCTCTCTTTCTCTCTCTCTCTCTCTCTTTCTTTCTTTCTTTTTTCTTCTACCCCTGTTGAGCCTGGTAGCAGATGATATCACTTATTCCAATTTTTTTGCACTTCACAGAACAGAGGTTTTTTTCAGGTGGCTGGTATATCACTTTCTCTAGAAAGCAGTACAGCATGCCATTTAAGTGTGCTGCTCTATGAAAGTCCAGAGATACTTATTGGCAACGGTAGCCTTTGTTTCTAATAAATACAGTTTTGTATTCCAGCAACACATAGAAGATACTCATGACTCCCCTCTCTCCAAATCTAATTTACTAGTTAGAGTGACATACTGTAATTTTGCAGACTAGAAAACAGAGGAGATTTTGTGGTGGCTGATTATGGACTTTAAATAACTTTTTAAAAAGCAAAAAAGGAATAAATCCAGGACTTGAAAATTAGAAGTTTTAATGAAGTGCTTGCATTATATTATATTTGGAAACACTTTTCTAAAAATTAAAAATAAAATAGGGTTCCCTGAGTGAGAGGAAATCTAAACTATGCAGCAGTTTCAGTAAGCTTGGATATTAAAATCTTTGTTTGCTTGTTTGTGTTGTTGTTATTGGAGACCATTCTGTAATTATAGTAAGTGGACACAGATCATGCATCAATGAATATATTCCATTTAAAACATTATTTAGAAGAAAAATGCTGAGCAGTATTTGTTCTGTAAAACGTGGCTTATCAGTTAAAAACTGGGTGGATCTGAACATAAACTTTCAGTATTATAAAAAGGTAGAAAAGTAGTAATGTCGTTTGCTTCTGTTCACCTATAGGAGGAGCTGTCCACCCCATCCCCACATTCAGGTGCAGCTCTAGGCAACATGAGTAGAAACACTGACGTGCACGTGCACACCCCCCCACATACCCTCACCTACACACACACACACACACACACACACACACACACACACACACACACTGTAAAAGCATAGATAAGACTCAAGCTGCAAGTCCTGAAATGAAGGGGCGATATGACCATTTTCAAAACTGGAAACCTAGGCCTGAATTGTGTGTCTCTGTCATAAAACACTTCTTTTTCTTCTGAATAAGCATTTAAATGCATTTCCCGTAGGTTTTCCCATGTATAATTTACAAAAAAAGGGGTTCTTAATATGCGTGTAATATAATGATGTCTTGGTGTACAACTACACGGTGAAATGAATACCCCAATCAAGTTAACACAATCACCACCTCAAACAAATTTTTTTGGCCATTTTTATGTAAGTTAGGAATGCATGAGTGCCAGGGCACAGTTGTGGACACCTGTAATCTCAGTTTTGCATCACTCTCATAAAATACCTGATATGGGGCATGTACGCAGAATCGAGTTTTATTTGGTTCACAATTCTGGTGTCTGGCGAGTTTAAGCAGCCTGATGGAAAAGTCTGCAAAGTGTGGTGACATTCTCCTGGCCAGGGACTTATGGCTGTATCACAACATCATGACAAAAGGAGGAAAGAATCTGGAAAAAAACTAATGTTAATCATTTAAACATATGGTAGAATTCTCTCTTAAGACATTAGGTTCTGAGCTGTTCTTAGGGAAAAGGGTTAGGAGCAGATAAAAGGAACTTGCCTAAAGTACTGCCATTTTGACTTCAGACTCCGTTTTACCTAAGCTCATAAACCTCCTCTCAAAGCAACAACAGTTACCCAAAACATAATACCTGTCCCTAACAACAGAAAGAGCAAATGAATTTGATTGGTTTTGTAAAAACATTTACATTTCATGTCAGTTGACAATGATGAAAGGCTTAGGAAAGCCCCTAATCCCAAAGTTCTGATTGGTAAAAATTATAACTGTAACTTGGCCCAGATGCTCACAGGTTTTATGCTTATAAACCCTAGTCCAGCCTCTACTCGGGCTGCCAGAAGAAACAGGGCTCCTGAGTCCTTCTCTGGTGGCTCTGATGGATCAGCGAGTCCACTTATGTGGTGGGAATAATAAAATATTCTTCTGTTTCCCAAGCCCACTGCTTTTTTTTTCTCCCCTTCTTCATGGTGCACAACAGACATGTTATAACAGAAATATTATTAATATTCTTATTATTTTGTGAATAACATTACAAATAATTTACTTCTTCAGACTTTAATAATTTGGTCTTGTAGATTAGAGATTCCTAGAAATTTGTTCATTTATTCTAAGATACCTAATTCATTGAGGGCAGTGCTTTCAAAGAGTTTGTTTACTTATCCTATGTCGGAATGGTTTCTCTATGTTGATAGCCTACTACCACAGTCTTTGTTCCTGTTAATATTGCCTTTACATATTTAGGTGCCCATTGCGTTGACAGCATACGTATTTACAGCTTGATATGTTGTCTGTTTTGTCGTTATGTACAGGAGTCCCCTTTTCTCGGAGAGATTACTTTATAAGGTGGTCAATGGATACTTGAAACCCACAGTCCTCAACTCCATGTATACTGAACACAAGGATGCCATAAGCATCGATTTGGTCACTGACGGAATGTGGGCGGTGTGTACATCAAGAATATGCTATGCAAAAAGGTGACTCAGGTCGCAAAGAGCAACCTGGTACAGGACGTCATTCAGCCAGCCATTCTATGGCTTTTGACTGGGAATTCTTATCTATTTACATTTCGTGATAATGAAGCACCTAGAACTTGACTGTATTTCGTTGTTTTCTGGATGGATTCTGTTTTCTTCATATTTTGTGTGTTTCAGTTTCTTTATGTTTTTTTTTTATGAAACATGATAACTGTTACAACTTAGAAATCATGTACATTTCAAACCTGTTGTGCCATCGTGGAATACCATTCTGGATTACAAGATTTCTGTTAAGAACCCCACTAATAGTCTTATGAACTTACCTTGTATGTAAAACCTACATTTTTCTCTTGCTGTTTCTGAAACCTTACCTTTGTTTTTGAGTCTTGAGAGACCAAATAGAATGTGCATTGATGAGCCATTCTCTAAAATTATCAGTGTATCTGGACAAACATTTTGTTCCCCGCATTTGAGAAGAGGTTTTTTGTTTGTTTGGCTTGGTTTGTATTTTCTCAATTTTTTTAAAATCAATTCTTCTGGGTTGAAATTTTCATGGTAATGTTTTATATTGATTTTAGGCTTTCTCCACTTTCTAAAATTCTCTTTTCATTTTGTCCCGGTGTTAATAATATAAATATCCCCTCTCGGTGCTTGCTGCTTCTTCGTCTGTTGTACTGTGTGTTGTTTTCCTGACTTTGTTCAGTCATCAACTCGTATTCACTTGTAGTTCACGGAACTTCTTGAGACATTTGTCTTGGAAAATATTATTTTTAACTATTTGTACAACATGCCTACTTCTGTGTAGGTGTACGGGCACAGGAGTGTAGGTGCTCACCGAGGCATCAGATGTGCGGGGGGGAGCTGGAGTTACCGGTAGCTGTGAGCTCCACGATGCGTGTGCTAGAAACTGACCTCGGGTCCCCTGCAAGAGTGGTGCATGCCCTCCAGCACCTATGCCAAACTTGTAATCAGGCAATCAGTTGACCTTCATGAATTTAGGGTCACATACAGGTGCTTTACTTTTTCTGTTTGGTGATTTTTTTTTTTTAATCTGTGAGCTTCCGGTTTTGTGTTGGTGTCCGCACCTTTCGATGAGAAGCTATTTTAAATACAGTTTTTAAATTTTATTTACTCACCTCTTGTGTGGACATGTGTGTGCAGGTGTGGGCGTGGAGGTCAAAGGACGCTTTTTGGGAGTTGGCGCGCTCCACTGTGTGCGTTCTGGGCATTGAACTCGGGACATCAGCCTTGATGGCAAATGCCTTTATTCCCTGAGATATCCTGCAAGCTCCGCAATGGTTTTAGGCTTTTAAAGCTCGCTGCACTGGGCAACCCTATTAGTCATTTATCCCATCAATAGATTCTAGGCCCATTAGAGTGGGCCTGCTGGCTAGGCCTGCAGTTACCATGCTGGATCCTGGGTCTGAAGGGACAGGCTTGCTGTTAGGACCCGTAGGAAGTGCGTCATTGTTCTTTATCCGCACGCTTGGTAGCAGGATTTCACGGTCAATGTGAAACTTCTACCTTTCCCCAGTGCCTATTTGCCTATGTCTGCATTCTCACCAGCTGCTCTGACCCATCACCCGGATTCCTTAGGACTTTTGTGCGTGGAGAGTTGTCCACCGTTCCCATGAGTTCTTCTGCAAAGGGAAGCATGCCAGAAACTCCAACCTTACCATCCTGCTTATACGCCTTCCTGGAATGGTTAACATATTAAGTAGCTGAACCTGGACCGGGATTTTCATTGACCATATTGACAGGTTAAACAGTTGAAACTGATGCCAGAAGCCCAGTGTCAACACTGGAGCCAAGCAAATACTGCGCGCAGTGCCATATTTGGAGAGCTTTGAAGACTTCGTTTTCAACTGGAGACTCCTTCTCCCCCAGAACCACAGCAGCAGCAGACCTGGCCTTCAAGGTAGTCACTCTCTATTATTCTCGTCACCTCCTGTGTCTTTTTTTTTTTTTCCTAATATAACTATTTCCGAATTGGAAAAAAAAAAAATCTGTTGGTGTAATGCACTAATTTCCTGAGAATTTAGAAAATCCAGAAGGAATCATTTTTCTTTGTACAAATATTTTAATATGAAATATTTAAAATCAAGATTGAATTTTTTGATTGGTTTAAAAATCTTAAGTTGTTTTAAGTTGGCTTGAATATCTTCAAAGGTTTTTGTGGAGATTGTGGATGATATCGTCCTTATTTATAATAATTTGGCATAAATTAAGAAATTTAATAAGTATTTAATGATTCTATTAGCTCTCTTTACAATATTAATAGAAATAAACCTTTAAAATAACAATAAATAAGCTAATAAATATAATAGCAGTCCAGATGTCTCAGCTGTATCTTGATAAGTGTCTTAATTTTTTTATATACAAAATATTCCCCTCCTCCCCAAATCCTCATTCTCCTGGTGATCATGTGTTTTTTCAATTTACACATTTACCAAAAAGGCAAAGTCTATATTAAACTGTCTAGTAAATACAGGGTAAATATGATTTAAACCTAGCCGTTACAAGAAGACTCTTTTTTTTTTTTTTTTTCCTTTCAAAGGATGATTTTATTCAGCCACGTGGGTTATCTCATTTCCTTGTTTGCTACAGTTTCCTGTGGTAAGTACTAGCCATAAAAGTTAAAATTAATAGTGTGGGAGAGAGGAATAGTTATGCAAACTATACCACTCCTGGAGAAAGCCTTTAACCGTACGGCTCTGGGGTAGGAGGCAGCCTCTGATAATTGAAGGCCAGAACTTCTCTTTAGATACATAGCCCCAAACACACACGAACAGGGGAAGGAACTTGGAGACCATTGGCTCTCGGTGCATTTGTTAGCAGAAGTTTCTGTTTAGAGACTACTTACTCTCCAGCAGAGCCCCTCACCCCAAATAGTTGCTTGTTTTTATTATCAGCCTCCACGAAAACAAACTCTACCTGGAAACTGAAAAGACCATTAGACATTGTATAATATTGGGTCCCATCCAAGTATCTGATTAGTGGATGATATTTTTAATCTAAGGCATAGGGAGCTGTTTCTGAACTGAAAGTACTTGCTTAGGATTTAATTAGTGTGTTGTCCCTTAGGTAGTCTGGATGAATAGCTTAAGTACTAGGTGTCAGTACTTTTTTCCTCTGTGTATTCCATTAGTTTTAGAAAATAAACATGACTCTGAAACACCCTCTATAATAGTTCTTATAGAGTGAGGGTTCCCCTGGTATCCCACAGGGGTGAAATCTGAGTCAAAGGTGACTTATGACATAACCACACTTCAAGGATTCTTTACTTGACTCTCAAGTATTTGGCCAAATACAGCTCTGAAGAAGCCTTATCTTTGTAACTATAGAAGTCATTTCTCTAGGAAAAGTATTCTTTCTTCCCTGTCTGCTAATTACACCTACCTCCATCTGTCCCATCAACTGTCTCTGCTCTTCTATGTCACAGCTATTGCCATGTTCAAACCAATCAAATTGAGGAGCGATGGGCAGAGATGCTGTGGGCCATGGCTATGAGAAAAAGCTATGACTTAAAATTCATGATCATGATAGGAAAATTAGAGAAGTGAATGCATGTAATGCTTGAAACTGAGTATTTTATGTAGTCCCAGTGCAAAATAACCGTTGTTAATTTTTTGTTTTTTTATATTTTCTTGCATGAATCTGTTTTATAAAAGTGTAATGACTTAAAAATAGCTTAACTTACCTTTGCTTTTCATAGCTAATGTTAACCCAAACAAATCTTTTATTAGTTCTTTTTTTATGGTATTTTGTACATACTTCAATTATTTCTATAAATTTTTGAAGATGTAGATACAAAAGTGTGAATGTTTATGAAGGTTTTATGGCATGCATTATGGTGCTATCTTCCAGAAAGGCATTCTTTGTTTGAGAGTGCTAAACCATCCCACTTAGAACAGCACTAACGCATGCCTATAGTCCCAACACTCAGGGAGGCAAAGGCAGGTGGATCTCTGCGAGTTCGAGGCCAGGCTGGTTTACAAAGTGAGTCCAATACAGCGAAGGCTATACAGAGAAACCCTGTCTGGTGTCTGGAAAATCAAACAAACAAGAACAGCACTAATAGACATCTGTTACTATGCAGTCTAGCGTAGCGTCCAGAGTTCTTCCTGAGAAACCATCTCCAAGTATTGGTTCACACGGTTCTGGAGATGATGCTTCTGCCGTTGATGCTCTGGCTTCTAGAAGGAGGCTCAGATTTATTTTTATTTCCAAGTCAACTTGAGCTTCTGGTACCGCCTTGCTGCCATCGTGCATCTTGAGACCAAGCCAGCAGCAAGCAATAGAGTAACTCACTGCTGACACATTGTGCGCTGATGCAGCCACTGAGCACTGTGTAAGTACGTCTGAAGGCACTCACTGTGGGCCCTGGGGTTTCTGAACTGATGAGCTCCTTTATACTCAAGATGTGTTAAGCTTGATTTTCTTTCACTTGTGATCAAAGCCAGCACACAAATATTGGAAATATTGTTTGTTTAAATTTTAATCTTTGGCAACCTAATTCCTTTAAACAGTGTTGTGAATCAGTGGCTCTTACCATTTTTAAAATACAAAATATATTTCATATCGGCATCTTATTTCTGAGAGATTACATTGTTTCAGGACTTTCAGCTTATGAGACTGACATGCTGCCTACTGTGCTAAGGAGGCGCCTGTGGGAGATTACACTGTTAATTCAGAAAAAGGATTTATTATTCTTTTTAAGAAAGTTATCTGAAATATAACTATTCTGAAATATCAGTTGAAATATTGTGTATTTGACCTTCCAGTTTAGAAAGAATTAATTTATAGCTTATGTACATTTACTTTGTGAAGTTTTTAAATATGTTTTTTTAATTTAATTAGAATGATATCACCCCACTTTCCTCTGTTTATCTCCTCCTAAGGACCCTCCCTCGGGTCTCTCCCATGTCCCTCTGACTCTCAAGTTGACTGCCTCTTTTTCATTATTATGCATGTGTATGTGTGTGCAGAAATGTGTAAATACAGCTTGCCAGGTCCACTTGTGTTTGTGTGCATATGGCTTATGTGTAAACTGGGCAACCAACAAGTGGGCTCATCTCTGGGAGAGGCTAATTCTCTTTCTCCCAGAAGTCATTAGTTGTCTGTAGTTCTTTGACTAAGGATGAGACCTTGTGAAATTTCCCCCTTCCATGTTGCCACATTCAGTGATATTACCATTGTTCTGGTGTTGTTTATGCAGACGTTTCTAGGAGAGACTGTTTCACAGTGGATTTCCTCATAGTCTATCTTCCTGTGCCCTTTTTCATGATAACCCCTGAGCCATAGATTTGGGATATGTGATGCAGATGTCTCCACTGAGCCCGGGCTCCCCACAGTATACTGACCTCCACATTGTGTCCAGTTGTGGTTTTCTGTGACGGTGTCCATTTGCTGCAAAGAGAGGTTTTTCTGATGAGGGAGGTCAGCCATTTTCTCACATACGTATAATCGTCTTTGGTAAACTGTCTTTTCCTATTTGACATAAGAATTTAAAAGTGTTTTAACATTAGTTTGTTCTGTATCTAGGCCTGCAAGGGTACACATATGGGAGGTAAGAGGGCAGCTTGTGAAGGCTCCCGAGCCTTCTGTCTCCCACTTACCTAGAATTTTTACAGTTAAGCTGTTTTTCTTTCCTTACTTATGGCATTTTCCCCTTTTCTTTCTTTGATTATGTAAATTTTTAATAGGGCTAAATAGCATGCCCAATGTCCATGGACATGAGACCAATGTTGAAAACTGAAGGACGTGATCATTATAGATCATTTAAGTTATGCAGAACTCTGTACACGCAACGCTGTCATCATCATCATCATCACCACCACCACCACCATCATTCTTGTTGTCTGTACCAATTGGGGGGGGGGGGGGGGGGGAATGATAAGCAATTCTACAGTTAGAACACTTCCGGTCACTCTTTTTCAGTGGCTGAGTCACACTTTACTTGGCCAAGACTCCACTACAGGATGGATACTTCCGGGCTATCCCTGGTCACAGTTCGTGTTTTTGTATGTGTCTGTGGAATGGGATGGCAGAGAAGTGTCTGCTCAATAATTATGAAACGCTAACCACATTTTTAAAAAAAAGTCTCTTTGTAGCTATCATTACCACTGGGCCTGTTATTCAGTGTGTTGTACAAATGGGACACCTTAGGGTTTCCACTTGGGGACACCTATTCCCAGGAGCATCTAGCCGGGAAAATCTGCTCTTTCCAAATATAAACCTAACCCTGAGGTAGGCATGGCAACCTCTCTGATCAGAAGAGAAGCGATGCTGCTGGTTTGGCTCAAAATGGGTCTCAGAAGCAGGATCTCCGCACAGGTATAACATAGAAAAATGTAAGTCTCCAGTGCCTAACTAAGTACATTAAATCAAACCAGTTCTTTGAGAAGCAATGGCAACACCGATACTTAAAGAGAGATGGACAAGGTGGCCACTGGAATATTGCATAATCAGTGAAAACTTGGCTGATGCACACAGACAAGCTACACAAGGCAGAAAGCTCAGTAAAAAGATTTGAACTGAATCTTTTCAGACGAATTCAAATTCATAAATTAAATCCATCGAAGATAATTCTCTAATGATTTGTGGGATGCAAGATATACTACAGAATAGAGTTATGAGTCAGCATAAGCAGCATCCATTTCTGTTTGTTTTCAAGATAGATTACAAATGCACTTTCATTTTTTTTTGCTTTTTCTGTCTTTTTTATTTTTTAAATATTAGTTACAGTGTATTAACTTTGTATCCCAGCTGTAGCTCGCTCCCTCATTCCCTCCCAATCCTACCCTCCCTCCCTCATCTCCTCCCTGCCCCTTTCCAAGTCCACTGATCGGGGAGGTCTCCTCTCCATTCATCTGACCCTAGCTTATCAAGTATCTTCAGGATACTTGGCTGCAATGTTCACCTCTGTGGCCTAGCAAAGCTGCTCTTCCCTGGGGAGAGAGGTCAAAGAGCCTGCCTTTGAGTTCATGTCAGAAATAGTCCCTGTTCCCCTTACTAGGGCACCCACTTGGATACTGAGCTACCATGGTCTACATCCAAGCAGGGGTTCTAGGTTATATCCAAAGCACTTTCATTTTTTTATTTGAAAATTATTTATTTAGCCTTTTCCTGTTATTGAAAATAGATTCTTTTTTATATATAATGTATCTTGAGTATAGTTTTCCTCCCCACCTCCTATCTTCTCCAGATCCAGTCCCTGTAGGCCTCTCATTAGATAAGAACAACCTCCTATGAAATAACTACCAAGGATGACAAAATAAAAATAACAAGATAAAAACAAAAATCATCACATCAAAGTTAGATGAAACAAATCAACAGAAGGAAAAGAGTTCAAGAGAAGGCACAAGAATCAAAGTAACCCATTCTTTCATACACTCAGGACTACTATAAAACTATTAAGCTGAAAGCTATGATATGTTTGTAAAGGACCTGGTGCAAACCCATCTCTGTGAGCCCATAAGAACCTTGCTCAGTTGCTTCAGAGGGTCTGTTCTGGTGTCCTCCATCTCTCTGGCTTTTACACTCTTTCTTCCTTCTTTTCCGCGGGGTTTCCTGAGCTCTCAGAGGAGGAGTTTGATGGAGACATCACATTCAGAGCTGTGAGTTCTTCCAACACTCTGATTCTGTCTCTCTCTCTCTCTCTCTCTCTCTCTCTCTCTCTCTCTCTCAGTGTGTAATGTCTTGGTGTGGGTCTATGCAGATGCATTTTCCAAGAAATGAGCTTATAGGAAATCAGTGCTCAATAATTATTAGTTTGCATGAATAAAGCCAAGGCAGGGAGCAATATGTAACACCTCATGCTCAAAAAGGGGACAGACAGGATTGAGGGTAAAAAAACAAAAAAAAAAGAGTTTATGTTCCAGGATACTTATTCACTATGTGATATCAACCACATCTGAACTCTGAGTCTCGGTTATTGATTTCTTTCATGAAAAAAAAAAAAAAAAAAAAAAAAAGAAGAGGATTCAGATAATGGTCCTGACCTCAAGTTCCACTTAAAGTGTTGGGGGAATCTAAGGAAATGTTTGTCAAGGGTTTTGAAAAAAAAATCTGTATTTCTGTTTTTAAGGTGAAATGTTTTCACACCAGGTTAGATATCATGCAGAAAAAAAAATCCATTCTGTATTTCCCAGGGGAATAATTTATGTACAAATTATCATATAGGTAATAAAAAGGATCAAATTCCATGCCTAAGTGTCCATAAGACGACTTTAAATTGTATGCTGTAGTGTTTAAATAGTTGCCATAATATTTCACTCCACCTCTGTAGCTATAAAGATCTTTGGGTAGTCATTGGGATAAATGAAAAAGAAAAGTAAAACAGATGCATTTCTATGGCAACGTTTACAGTTGTGTCCTGATCAGCTTTTAACGGTTATATCACAGGGTGTCTGACTCAACTGTACAAAAATACCTTCTTCAGAGGAGGGGATGTAGCTGCTATCTACACCCCAGATGCCGGGTACTGCCAGAAGATGTGCACGTTCCATCCCAGGTGCTTGTTGTTCAGCTTCCTCTCAGTGAGTCCTGCCAGAGGGCCAGATAAAAGGTAAGAGGCGATGTTTTATCATGGCCAGGCTAGGCATTTTTCTAACTGCTTCCAGTCATATGCAAAACCAGTGTCGGACGCCTCAAAGATTTCAAAGGCCGTTTTCATGAGAAGCTCTGAGACTGGGTCTTTCCAAAATAGACTACTAGACTACTGAACCGTGAAATGGACGCTCTAAACAACTACATTTATTCACGGCAGTAGGCGGGAGAAATGCTCTAGCCAAGGCACAAGGAAAGAACATGTAACAAAAAAGGGTCCTAACTCATAGTCTAACAGTTGGTCTTTCTTGTTCACTTTTCAACATGTCATACTGTCCCCAAATGTACATTTGTTTATGTATATACATGTGTTATTGGCTAGTTCTGCATATGAGGAAGATCATGAGGGCTTTTTCTTTTCTGAGATTACACGACTCCACTTAGTACTAGACATTCTAAGTCCATCCATATTTATTAATTAAAATTAATTATAAGTTCTGCAAATAAAACAATCACACACCCAAGTTAAGAGACTATACAACTCAGTGACTTCTATCCAGTTACAACAGCCATGAGAAATAGAAAATACGAAACTTCACAGTGGATTTTATAATTGCACTACCAAATACATATATTATTCACATATATTCCTTATCTAGTAAAAGGTGAAAATTTCACCTGCATAAAGAAATATATTTAATTTCTTATCATGGTGACTTATTACCATATTTATGGGTAGCAAAGCTGAGAAAATATAAACCAGGAATTTTGTTGATAATAGATTTGAGATCCACTAGGCAAATCTTAATGGTATCTGTAGTGTGCCAGTTTGCACTTTTATAATGTGTATTGTGTGTGTGTGTGTGTGTGTGTGTGTGTGTTATTAACTGGTAATTTTGACAAGTACACATATTAGAAATATAGCTGGAAATTTCACCTTAATTTTCTTGCATTTACTCAATAGGCAAGATGTAAATTTTTGTTTCTGTTTGCATACACATAATTTTCATCTTCACTCTATCTGAACTTAAGAATTAGAAATTTGACACTCATTCTCTGATCCCTACATGCTAATCTGTACAAAAACAAAAACAAAAAAACCAGATTGTATGTGAGAGTCACTGAATTAAAAATTGAACTATGTTCTAGGATTCTTATAAAATTAACATAAGTTGATATTAAACATAGAAAAAGCCCCCTACTAGATGGAAAATACCAGGACTCAATAAACATCACATAGAAACCCAGCTCATGGCTGATGCAATTTTTTTTTAAAGTAGGTTAAAATATTTATGAAAATAATTAGAATTTCAGAAAATGTATAAGTTTCAGACAGGAAAATCATAAGTTTAAAGTCAGCTAGAGTAAGTTAACAAGATCTTGTCTCAAAATAAACTAAATAAAAGCTGGGGGTGGGATGAGCCAGCAAGTGATAGAACTTGATTAGCCCAGGCCTGAAGCCCAGGCTTTCTTCCTCAGTGCCGCATAAAACAAATTATCTTTTGGGAAGAGGATTTATGGAGGTTTAAACCCAGGGATAATCATCAAGTCTTGAATGTGGTTGGTTCTGTGTCCTTAAAGCACAAACACAAAGAAAAACTGTGCTGTAGATAGTGTGGAATTGTCTTAAGAATGTCCTTTTCAGCAAGTTTTAAGAAACTGCTATTGGTTCCCTGACCCCAGACATTATTCTTTATTTGTTAACATATAAAAATGCTGCATAATTTCTTAATGTGTTTGTCATTCTTTTAAAAAGTGATTATTATTATTTTACAAAAAAACAGGTTTGGTTGCTTCATGAAAGAGAGCATCACAGGGACCTTGCCGAGGTTACAGTGGACAGGTGCGGTTTCTGGTCATTCTTTAAAGCAGTGTGGCCATCAAATAAGCGGTAAGACGTGGATTTTTCAGCTAAGTTTGAGTTCATAACAGTCTAACTCAGAGGAGCTTTTGCTCAAAGTCTGTCCTCTCATGGACTTTTGGAAGAGACCCACCAAGAAAGATAACGGAGATAGAGCAGCAACACAGTCGTAAGAAGGGGTACATTCATCTTGAAAATGTTCATGATTTTATCAGTTACAATACACAGTCTTAATGGGTCTCTGTTATCTATGGTGCTCGCACACAGTGTAAGATTTGTAGAAAATGAATGTGCGCTCCAAACAATAGGCCTTCCCTGTTTCTGGAAGACTTTTCAGATAAGGCTCAGAGCATATCTCAGCCACAGTTTCACTTTGGGGTAATTTGTGGTCCCCATCAGAACTTGTTTTGCTCTTTTCAGCTCAAAGAACATTTAGCAATACCTAGAGACATTTTAGACTGTTACAACTGGAGGAGCTGGTGCTGTATGGTAATGGCCAGAGTTGGCACAACAAATTCTACCAGGCACAGGGCCACAACGAAGAACTTTCTGGCCACCTCTAGGGCCATTGATTAAGGGTTTAAGACAGTAGTTCTCAACCTCCTTAATGCTGTGATTCTTTTAATGCAGTTTTTCATGTTGTGGTGATCCCTAACCAAAAAAAACAAAACAAAACAAAAAAAAACTATTTTCATTGCTAGTTCATATCTGTAATTTTGCTACTGTTACAAATTGTAATGTAGTATCTGTGTTTTTTGAAAGAGTCATTTTACCTCCCCAGAGGGGTCTCAACCCACAGGTTGGGAACCACTGGTTTAAGAATCCTTATTGTTGCCATTCAGTCCAGACTGGAGGGCTAAGCTCTATCAGTCTTGCTAAGCATAGTATTTCTTACAATTTCTAGAAACTGATGTCCTAGAAAACAATTTCTGTACCATTTCAAAGGTTTAATACTAAGAAGGCATTTCTATAGCATGACAGGGGCTGATTACAAAGTGAAATGCTAAAAAAAAGAACGAGGTGGTTGGTGGTTGGTAGAATCTTAAGAACCACTCTGGGTTACGTGGTTTTGTTTTTGCACAGTTTCACTCTGTAGGTTCTCATTTGCTTCGATAACATCTTTCTCAACACACACGTTCTAAGTCTGCAATTTGAATTATAGGTAATTAATGAAGGGTGACGGTAGCTTTGCTTTAAATGCTACTTCAGCAGTGTAATAGCTATAGTTAGTACAAAGCGACATACACTTCTCCTATCTTGTAAGATCAACCCGTATACCAATATAATTTGCTGTTTATTATTTGATTAAATTTTATGTCTGATGGTTGTGACTAACAACAAAATTTAAAGAAATAGAAATGCTGTGCCTTTTCTAAGCTGCTTAGCTGCCTTTTTTTTTTCCTCCTACATTAATCATCCTCATTGAGTTTGGCTCTATCTTCCTTTCTAACTTTCTCCCAAATATTTTCAAGTTAAAAAATGGTCTCAGGAAATAACTTTAGTAAAAACTATTTATAAATATTTATAAATAAACATTAAGAATACATTTTTATGTGTAATTACCTTATTCTAACTCTCATCCAATTTCTCTCTTATCTGAAGCAAGAACTCCATTACTATGATTTATAATTTTCTACCCTGTATAAACTAAACCACTGGGAGTTTAACACCCCATACCCAAATATAATGCTTTTCTGTTAGTTTGTATATACATACTGTCTCCCATGTTTAAATTGATTTCATGTTTCTTAGAAACGTACAGTTAGGTACAATAGAATATTGTTTGTGCTAACATGCACACACCTACATCACACACATTGCTTGCTTAATTAAGAATCTAATTAAGCTGTCTTAAAAACAAAACCTACAAGAGCTTAACTTGTCTTACTTTCTGTTAAAAGAATTAACTGTATTTTGACATATAAGTTATATTTCAGTGAAAGGGATGCTTCAATAGAATTGAAGAAACTTTAAAAAAAAATGAGTTGGGTAGCACATGGCTATAACCCCAGCAGCAGGGAAGCAGAAGCAAAGATCACTTCAAGTTTAAAGCCAGACTAGTCTGAAATGGGGGTTTGCCACATGCAGCATGGCTTGGTCCTGGAAAAGTGACTAGGGGCATCAAGAGAATAAGAAAGGACAGACACACACACTCACATGTAGGAAAGCTGAAGTGTTGTGAGTTTTGAGTACTGAACTCCCAAATACAAGAGTACTTTTTTAAGGCACAACACAGGGGAGAGGTTAACTTGTCTCAGTGGAAGTCTGGCAGTCTCTCTTCTTGGGCTGTAAACATCCTGGAACAGAAAGGTGAAGTTGCTAGCCATCGCACACACTGGTCTATTGTTTCTAAAGGCCAGTGCTTAGACTCAGGGAAGACTTTGCCACTTTCACATAGATATGGGACATTGGTCCTTCCCAGGGCTGTGCCCATGGTCAACAGATTTCATCTGTTCCTTTCACATTCACTTAGAGCTTCTTATGGCCAACCCAGGAGTTCCAAGCCAGCCAACCCTAGAAAGGACAAGACAGGATGGTAGTGGTGGTGGTGATTATGGTGGTGGTGGTGGTGATTGTGGTGGTGATGGTGGTGGTAGTGGTGGTGTTAGAATTTAAGAAAATTTTAAAGTGAGAAAAGAAATGATTCCATCGTGCGTATAAATAAGTTGTGACCGTCTGTAAAAAGATTTAACACAGACGTAAGTGGTGAAACCTGCAGCCACAAATCACAATCAGAGCTGAGTAGATGAAGGAAGAGAAATAGATGGTGATTATGATTATTTATTTATTTTACTTTCTTTGACTCAGAAGTCAAACGTGCGTTGTTTGTGAAATACCTTGTATCTCCGGCCTACACCACCAGGACCCTGTTATTATTGCCTTGTTTGTTTATCAGTGCCACTGATAACTTTAGTGTGAAATTGTATTGTTCTGTATTGTTGCACACACCTTGCAGTTTAGGAAGCAAAATAGCCCACTTTTGATGCTGTGGTCAGATAAACACACCGAGTTAGTGCCCAGCAGGGTTGGATAATCTAGATGTGCAATAAAAACTGTAAGTCCTGTACTTACCAGGGAAGTCACCAAAAACGGGATATTGGCAGGAAATCTGTGTCTAAAAAGAATATCTCTGTGTTTCATTTCAGCTTGCCACCAAGACTTATACGAAGGACTTGATATGAGAGGGTCCAACTTTAATATATCTAAGGCTGGTAGTGTTGAAGAATGCCAGAAACTGTGCACAGATAATATTCACTGCCAATTTTTCACATATGCTACAAGTGCCTTTCATAGACCAGAGTACAGGTGAGTGAGGCTGAATGGTTCCCCATGAGGACACACCAGGCCTCAACAGAATCCTCCACTGGGAAAAAAAAAAATGTTTGCTTTTACTCCAATGAAAGTACAAACAGGAGGCAGCACTTTAATGGAAATTTAAAATTAAGCGTGGAATTTCCCCCTTTCCCCCAAAGATAGTGAGCTTCGTTTGGTCTACTGATGGGCTGTATATGGACTGTCAGGCAATGATGCATGCCACCCCATTTTACACCGCCCTTTGCTGAAGGGAAGAGAGTCTTTTGATTAATATTGGCTCAACCATGTACCACTGTGGTTATCACATCAATAGCAAACATTACCCGCACATCTTTGTGCACCTCAAGAAGAGAAGCGTAACGACATCTTTTGTTGACACCCAGGAACAGCTGCCTCTTGAAACACAGTTCAGGCGGAACACCCACCAGCATAAGGACGCAGGACCACCTGGTGTCTGGATTCTCACTGAAGTCCTGTGCGCTCTCAGAGATCGGTAATCAGATGACAACTGTTCCATTGTGGTGGTGAGGTGCCAGATAAGATGCGCCCAGAAACAGCTCCATGCCCATTCCCAGGGACCCGGGGATATGATGCTTTCTGACCAAAGGGTTTTTATGGATGTGGTTATATGGAAATACTTTGAAACAAGAATTATCCTGGATTACCAGCATCTGCCCCTATCCAGTCTTGGGGGTCCTTACATGATAAAGAGGGAAACAGGGGTGTCAAAGTCAGAGGTAGAAAGACTTCAAAGGGTTACATTGCTGCCTTTAAAGATAGAAGAAGAGTCCAAAAGCAAAGGGATGCCAGTGACCTGTAGAAATTGAAAAGGGCATAGGAAAGATCTTCTTACACGCCCTTCCAGAGGAACAGAACCAAGCCAACCTCTTGGCTGGAGCCCAGTAAAACTTAGTTTGGCCTTCTGATCTCTAGGACTGTAAGGCCATAAATTTATGTTGCTTAAACCTCTACTTTTTTATTGTAATATTCCTGCAACAACATCGTTAGGAAAGAAAGTGATATTTTAAAGAAAACCATGAGGTCATTCTGTGGTGGCCATGTCTAGTGAAATAAGCACATTGCCAGCACGAAGCCCTATAATTTCAGATACAGAGGCAGTTGTAATTGAATTATCCAGACAATTGCCATCATTTTTAGGACATCAAGGTGCCAGTGGTAAGATTTGCTGAGACCAGATCACTTATAGTAAATTGTTCCAACAATGAATGCTGGCTCTATGCCAGATGCTGTAGTAGGTTCTGATTTCTGGGATATGATCTCTCTGTGAAAGACTGAGAAGTCAAAAACAACCAATCTCTTTTTCACTTGTTTTTCCTTTCCTCAACGTATCCCCTCTGTGCTGTGCCCTTCAGTTGGCTCAAATACCTTAACTATTTGGTATTAATGCCCATTTTTTTTCTAGTTTTTAAAACTTGTCTACAGAAGATAGGGCTCTTTACCTAAATGTGTTCTGCTCTGTATGTTGTGCTCATCTTAGATTGCATTGTGCAGCTCTTCCCAAATGCCAGGAGACTGAGAAACATCTAAGAAAAAAAGGGGGTGGGGTAGGATTCATTTAGCTCTTGATTCTGGAGGCTAGGAAGCTAAAGACCAGGTGGCTACATCTGGCAAGGAGTGGTGTGGGTCTGGGGATCATTCAGAGATTCACCACCAGTCTGACTAAGGTTTTGGTTTTAGTAAATGAGAGGCTTTTTTTTTTTAAGTAAAAAGATTGGTAGAGGAGGAGGACCTCCCCTATCAGTGGACTAGGGGAGGGGCATAAGAGAAGAAGAGGGAGGGTGGGCAGGACTGGGAGGGGATAAGGGAGGGGGCTACAGCTGGTATATAAAGTGAATAAATTGTAATAAAAATTTTTAAAGAAAAAAAAATTATATCACATAATATATATATTAAAAAAAAAAAGATTGGCCAAGTCCAAACCCGAGAGAGAGAGTTCTCTAGGTAAGGCTCTGGCTATTGTAAGCCAAAGAATTATAAAGGCAAAAGCCACAAAATACAGTGTTGGAAAGCTAAAGTAACTCATATCCATTCTGGGTGTGGGCAAGACTTGATTTTGTAACAGGCCTTCAGGAGGTGCCTTGGTCATGCAGGCAAGCAAGTGTTTCATAGGAAAGCAGAACAGAGTCATTGGCCTGTCTAACCTTGTGCCCCATTACCTTGCAGCAATAGCTGATGCAGCGAAATATTTTGTCACAATCAGCCATAGTTTTTAGAATAGCCCAAATGCACCAGGAAGTGGTCCATCTCCGGCCAGCTTACAGGGTTCCTTCAAGCCTAGCACAGTAATTTATCCTCTAAACATAGTTTTCACCATCACCTCACACTGCTCTATAGCACGGTAGTCATTACCACGCCCTTGTCCTTAATTTTGTCAACAATGCCTTTAGCTTTATAGATGAAAAAAAAAACAAAACAAAACTGCAGTTCCTGGGGTAAAACCATATCCTAAGGTCACATAGCAAACTTCCCACTTAAAAGTCACACAGATTTCTCTTATCCTCCCTTCTTTATAGACCTGTCTAGCTTCTTACCTCTCAACTCAAAATGAACTGTTTGAGGCTTTGTGTTCTGCACTTTCCTGAATGGGTTTGAAAACTTTGGAGGTAATCATATACCTTCTATTAGTGGTACAAAGCTACTTGCAGCTCTAATTGAGGGGACTCTTTCCGTGTTATTGGCTTGGTATCTGTCCCGACTCTTATTTTCCACCATAGGAGGATAATGTCTTGTCACATCATCACCAGGATCCATTACTTCTCCCTTCCCCCTCCTCATCCTTTTTTCTTTTCCCTCCTCCTTCTTCCCCTATCTGTCCTTCTCTCTCCTCCTTCTGCCTTTCTCCCTCCTTTCTCCCTTCTTCTCTCTTCTTCAGATACATGCTGTCAAGGAGTAGACTGCCAACTCTAGGCAAAGCAAGAGTTAGGTGCAATAAACTCAAGCCTGGGGAATGGTATTTTCCAGGAAGCTTCTAGACAAATCAAGTAATGGCCATTGTCTGGGAATGGGGGACTGTGGCTTGGAGGGGCTCCAAACACTTTGATATATTGGCTTTCAGCACACCTGTGGGGCTGTTTTCCAGGTCTCTGTGGGGTTGAGGAGGGGGCACAAATGCAGGATGAGTTAAACCTCACACAGATCTTGCTGAGGGTTGGCCATTTTTCTATCCCCGGATCTTGTGCTCCTTTGGTTAATTTCCAGAGATGATTCTTTTTTTAAAAGTGGTTTGGTTCATTTTGCCAGTGTTCACTACAGTTATAGAAAAGATGGGCACTTTTATTCTTCCAGCCTCACTAACGGTCTGAAACACTCTTAATAAACATGTGTCCTAGTTAGGGTTATTGTTACTGTGATGACACAATGACCAAAGCAACTTGGGGGAGGAAATGGTTTATTTCAGCTTATACTTCTGGTTACCAGGCCATCACTCGCTGAAAGAAGTCAGGGCAGGAACTGAAACGGAGCAGGAACCTGGAGGCAAGACCTGATGCAGAGGTCATGGAGGAGTGCAGCTCACCGGCTTGCTCATCATGGTTGCTCAGCCTCCTTTCTTAAAGGAACCCAGGACCAAAAGTCCTGAAATGGCAACAGCAATTCTCCCATCAATCACTAATTAAGAAAATATAGGCTTGCCTGTAGTCTGATCTTATGAAGGCATTTTCTCATTTGAGGCTCCCTCCTCTCCGATATCTCTAGCTGTGTCAAGTTGACATAAAACTAGCCAGTACACATAGTTAACAACCTAACCCTAGAATGAAAACAGTCTTTGGAACACCAGAAACCCATCTTACCTGGTTCAGTTTCTGCATTTTGTATGGAACAATAGAATCCTGGAGTACAGCCAGTGAGGGCTACAAGGATGACAGAATACCCAAAAGTAGGGTAAAATTTAGAAACGAGTAAAGGAAGATGTTAAATATATCCAACTTAAAAAGGAGTCAAGATGACAATATTAGCTCTTGGCAAAGTCTGTTCTGTTTGAAAGGCTGTCAGTAGGGAATGGGTTAGTTCACGAATCCATAGGTTTGGTTTAGATGGGTAGGTCTTTGTAGGAAAATGATTTTTAAAAGTCTCCACTGGGTAGAAAAGAAATTGGCTTTGTCACAAAGTGGTGAACTCCTTTTCAATTACAAATGTCTCAGTTATGTTGTAAAATGACCTGCTAGGGACATCTTGGGAGGATGCTGTTGTAGGTTGGCAAGCTATATATTTTCTTCCAAAAACAAGGGGCTTCATATTTTTTTTTTGTTTAAAAATTCAAGTAGTTCAGTCTAGCTTCCAAGACTACTCAAAGGACATATAATAGGAAGTGTGTTCTCTTGATCTAGTTATATTAAGTTTGACTGTCCTATAATTATTTTTTAATAAAAGTCTTTTTTTTATTTATTACAATTTATTCACTTTGTATACCAGCTGTAGCCCCTCCCATGTCTCCTCCCATGCCCCTCCCCCAGTCCACTGATAGGGGAGGTCCTCCTCCCCTTCCATCTGACCCTAGCCTATCAGGTCTCATCAGGACCGGCTGCATTGTCTTCCTCCTTAGTAAGGGGCAGCCTTACTAGGCCACAGAGGAAGACAATGCAACCTGTCATTATTCTTAAGCTTCCATACTATTAATATGGAATCAAATTGATTCGTACATGCTATCAGATTAGGTAAATCATGTAAACAGCACTGATAAAAATAGGCAAGGAATAAATTATGTAAAACAAATGAAAATGAAGTTTGTCTGTTCTACTACCAAATGGCACTATTTTGTTAGCTCCTCGGAATTTGTGTTAATCTCTTTTTATTAAAACACTTCTCATAATACTCAGAGACAAAACATAAAACAGCGGGCTCCCAAGGTTTAGTAATCCAAGGGAAACATGAGTCACCTAACCGTCTTGTGTTAGAAATGGCGGTGCTGCTTATGCTACAGCACTGAACATTTGTCTCTTGATGAGAACACATTTCACTTTTTTCCCCAAAGAACAAATTACAGATTTTGAGGTAAGTGAACAGGCTTTCTCCCCTTTTATTGAAAATAGTTTTCTCTCTCACACACACACACACACAAATATATCCTGATTATGGTTTTCTCTCCCTCTACTCCTCTTAGTTGTTACATTTGCCCTCCCATGCAGACTCACTCCTTTTCTTTCTTAAGAAAACAAACAGGTTTCTGAGGGATAATAAGAAAACAAGACAAAATAAGAAAACAAAAACTAACACACGAGGGAATCCAAGAGAAGCCACACATTTCCACACTCAGAAGTCCAGTGAAAAACAGAGGAGGATAATGCAGCCAGTCCTGATGGGACCTGATAGGCTAGGGTCAGCTGGAAGGTGAGGAGGACCTCCCCTATCAGTGGACTAGGGAAGGGGGATGGAGAAGAGGGAGGGAGGGTGGGGTTGGGAGGAGATGAGGGAGGAGGCTACAGCGGGGCCTGGAAAAAAAAAAAAAAACAAAAAAACAAAACAAAACAGAACAACAGAAACAAACAACAATGCTGGTAAACTGGAAGCTTTGCTATATACGGAAAGGATCTCTTGAAGACCCGTGCAGGCCGCCTCAGTCTGTCAACAGGCAATTTTTAACTTAGGATACTTATTACAGCAAGTACCCATTTGTCACAATCTGCTTAGTCACTTTGCTGAAGCGCGGGCAAACCCTTCCTTGTGTCACGAGGACTGTCTCCCTGCCGAGTTCACAGGCTGCCCCATGGATATTTTCCAGCACTTCGCCTTTGCAGGCCTAGATGTGGGCCAGGTCGTCACCCCCGATGCTTTTGTGTGTCGCACCGTCTGCACCTTCCATCCCAACTGCCTTTTCTTCACTTTCTATACGAATGAGTGGAAGACAGAATCACAGAGGTGAGTGAGTGTGAGCGGGCATGTGTTCTCTTCCAGTCGGTTCTGTTCCTAGCAGAGGCTTGCAAGAGGCCTTGCTGGTTTTTATCGCGCTGGAGCCTGTGGTTTAAGTGGGCGCTTTTCTGCCAGGTCACTTCAGAGATTAGCAGGTTTCTCTACATACCTTCCCTTCCACGGAACAAACATTCCATTGAGTCAAACAACAGCAGCAGGGCCAAAGGGAGCGGGCAGCTCTCTCGCTGGCTTTAAGGTTGGGGGTTGGCTTGAGTAACAGCTGCTCACGCAGCTTATCCTTTAATCTTATGAGAAATCAGAGCCCTGCTTAGCCTGATCACCGATCTCAGGTCTAATCTGCCTACCTCTCCTTTAAACAACTCCCCATTTCCTTTATGTACGACATGGGGCCCGCAGGAGGATGTAATTCTGCCAGCAGCATAAATCCAAATGCTTTGTCCTTTGATGCCTTCTCTCTCCCTTTTTTCTTTTTCTAATTAGAAGGTGGAAGTTTACCCTCTGTCTTCTTTTCTGGTTGTTGGCACCTAATAGGTGTTTTGTTTTTTTTTTTTTCTCCCAGAGGGAGAAGTGACTCCATTTAGATTTAGTCCCTGTAATAGTTAGGAGTCTTGGAGACTGACTGACTGAAGAGAATTTCTCAGAGGAACACAATTTACAGAGTTGCAGAAAGAAAGAGAGAGAGATAGAGAGAGAGAAAGGAAGGAAAGAAGAAAGGAAGGAAGGAAGGAGAGAGGGAGGGAGGGAGGGAGGGGGAGAGAGAGAAAGAAAGGAAGAAAGAGAGAAAGAAAGGAAGGAAGGAAGGAAGGAAGGAAGGAAGGAAGGAAGGAAGGAAGGAAGGAAGGAAGGGGCATGGCTCTAGTATCTGCCTATTGTTTCTAATGAGATCTTCTTTCTCTTTTTCACTTTTTTTTTTAATAGAAATGTTTGTTTTCTTAAGACATCTAAAAGTGGAACACCAGGTCCCTCGATTCCTCAAGAAAATGCTGTGTCTGGATTCAGTCTCTTCACCTGCAGAAAAGCTCGCCCTGGTAATGTGACTCAAGAGTGATGGTACATGACCTCTGTCCTACTTTGGTTCTTGGTTGCTGTGGTAAATGCCAAAAGCAAGTTGGGGAAGAGAAGGAGTTTGTTTCATTCACATGTCCAATCATAATCCTGTTCCTGAGGGAAGTCAGGCTAGGAACTCAAGCAGAAAAAAAAAGTGCAGGAATTAAGCAGAGACCATGGAGAAATGCTGCTTTTTATGGCTTGCTCCTATAAATTGCTTAGCTGCACAGACATACACATACACACATATATGTATAAATACATGTATATACATAAATAGGTACATAAATGATTACATATATGTATATATACGTATACACATACATAAATGTGTACATATATATGGTCTATATCATATCCCAGGTGATCCTGGCACTGCCCCAGCAGGCTGGGCCCTCCTCCATCAATCATTAATCCAGAAACTATCTCACAGACATACCCAGGAGTCTGTCTGATGGAGACAACTCTTCAGCTGATGTTCCCTCTTTTCAGCTGTCTCCATTTTGGTCAAGTTGACCAATACTAAGAGCCAGGAGGTGCAACAGAACTTGGGATCTTCTAAGAATTAACGGAACTGTTCTCAAGAAACTAGAAACGCTGTTAATGTGGCTTGTTTCCCATCTCTGTATGTATCTTCTGGTGCTTGTACCTGACGCAGAACCTTGCCATTCCAAGATTTACTCTGGACTTGACTTTGGAGGCGAAGAACTGAGTGTGACCTTTGTGCAAGGACCAGATGTGTGCCAAGAGAGGTGTACAGAGGCCATTCGTTGTCAGTTCTTCACTTACTCCTTACGCCCCCAAGACTGCAAGGTAGACAGGTAAGGGACCACTTCCTTGATAACCAGCAAGGTAGTTATTTCATAGTTTTTTCCTCTCTGTGGGCTTAGTTTTATACTGCTCCTTTTTTTCCAGGTGTAAATGTTCCTTAAGGTTATCCGTGGATGGCTCCCCAACTAAGATCACCCATGGGGCCCAGGGGAGCTCTGGTTATTCTCTGAGACTGTGCAAAGTCGTGGACAGCTCTAGTGAGCAAAACTCCTTGGTTAAGGAATGGTGTGTGGATGGCTTGGTTGTTATTGATGGCTTGGTTAAGGAATGGTGTGGATGGCTTGGTATGGCTTGTGATGGGAGTGTTTATATTATTTCCCTGGCTGGGGGGATGGGTTGCTGACATGTCTAATTCTGACCATACATCTCAACACTTTTCAGTCTGCACGACAAAAACAAACACCCGCATTGTGGGAGGAACAAATTCTTCTTTAGGGGAGTGGCCGTGGCAGGTCAGCCTGCAAGTGAAGATGGTGTCTCAGAATCATTTGTGTGGAGGGACCATCATTGGAAGCCAATGGATAGTGACGGCTGCCCATTGCTTTGATGCGTAAGTTTTGTTTTCATGTTTATTATGCCCGTGTGTGTGTGTTGTGTGCACGTTCACCTGCTTGCATATATAGAGATTAATGTCAGCTATCTTCCTGTATCGCTGTTTGCCTTATTTGTTGAGACAGGGTTTCTCACTGAACCTAGTGCTAACCATTTTGACTAGACTAGACAGCAAGTCCCAGGAGCCTGTCTGTTGCTGTCTCCTGGCACATTCTCAGCCCCAGTTGTGTGTTGAGGATCTGAACTTGTGTCCTTACGTTTGAGAAGCAAGCCCTTTGTCCACTGAATTATCTCCTTGGCCCTGAGATACTTGTTTTGAGGATGATAAAAGTTTCCAAGTTGCCTAGAAAATATCATAATTTTAAACTTAGTTTGTGTATCTTTTACATGGTTAAGTTAAAATTCAAAAGATGGGTAGGTAGATTTTTAAGCAATAAACACCATTAATTTTTATTGGGGCTTATTTTAATCAGTAAGGCTACTTGATAGGTCTGATTTGATGAAAGCAATTGCTTTCAGGTTTGGTAAACCAAACTTAATTTTCCCACTGTTTCTTGGAAAGGGACAGAAGCATTCCTTCATTTTTACTTGTAACAAACATAAAGTAATTTTTTAAAATATTGAGTATTTTCAACCACAGCTTCTTATACTGTGGGCTGAAATGCTGTATGTACTCAATGCAGCTGAGTATGGGGGCTCTCAAAGATTTTAGCAATAGTAGAAGGTCCCCACATGCACAGTGACCCAAATTAATTTACAATCCAAATGTGACAAACCCTAGGCATTCTGGTTGTCCTCTCCTGTGCTGTGTCAGTGACTCCACTGCAGCCTCTGTTGCTAACACACAACATGAACTTTGCACTGCGCATGCCGCTTCGCCATGTGGACCCGACAGATGGTACCCTAAACACAACTCAGACTGAAGATTGTGCAGTGTCGTAAATCACAGTGTGTGTAATATGTGTGCACTAAGTTTTTTTTCTTTTTTTTTTATTATTTTTTTCTTTTTAGTTACATTTTGTTAACTCTGTGTCCCAGCTGTATCCCGCTCCCTCATTCCCTCCCCAAGTGCACTAAGTTTTTGTCTCTTACAGGAACGTAACAATTTCATTACAAAGAACAAAACCGTTAAAATGTTTCTCGTCATAGCATGTCTTTGGATTGTATGGTGCTAGGCTCTGATTTTAAATATTGTTGTTTGAGCTGACTACTTGAATTTTATTTAAAAAAAAAAAACTCATTGTATCAACTTGGGCTTGGGTATTGGATAGAACTTCTAAAACTTTCTTAATGGTCTTAAACCTATGTCTGCCATTTGGTACCAGGCTCTGATTTTAAATATTGTTGTTTGAGCTGACTACTTGAGTTTTATTTAAAAAAATAAAAATAAAAAAAACCCAACAAAACTCATTGGATCAACTTGGGCTTGGGTATTGGGTAGAACTTCTGAAACTTTCTAAATGGTCTTAAGCCCATGTCTGCCATTTGGTACCACATATTCATACGAAGTGGCAATTCCCAGCATTGTCAGTGATAAGATATTAAGGACCTCTTAAAAACACCGAGGATGTTCTCCTTCTTTTAGTACCAAACATTTAGACATGTTCTAACTTTTTATGTGGAAATAAATAATCACATTTATTCCATTAATATGTGCACTTGCTTTCATCACTGAGAAGTGATAAAATTACATATTTACCAAAGAACTGTTTTGAAGTAAATTTTTTTGTGATATACTATCAGTAAATGTTCAATGTGTGTACCTTCTTCATATAGTCACCCAAACATGTACAAAAAAAAAAATCTTTTCAGGCACAAGGGAATTTTAAATAGAAAAAGTTTTAGAAGTTTTATTATAAACTAGACTTTCAAAGACCCAATACTACTGGTGTAGGCAAAGACAGTTGCCTTGCCAGAAAGAATAACTAGGACATATGAAATATGTTCTTCTTTCTCCCCCTCCTCAAGAAAAAAGGGCTAAGAAAAAGGAACAAGGAAAGATGCCAATGTCACTTTGGTTTTCATGTGTCTGTTCTAGGATTCCTTATCCAGATGTGTGGCGTATTTATGGTGGGATTCTTAATCTGTCAGAGGTTACGAGAGAAACGCCTTTCTCGAAAATAAAGGAACTTATTATTCATCAGAACTACAAAATCTACGAAGGCAATTATGATATTGCCTTAATAAGGCTTCAGGCGCCCTTGAATTATACCGGTATGCAGCTCATTTAAGGAAAAACTGAACAACTGAATTGTGTTAGTGTCGATTTCCACTTTAGCGTGTGTGAGTAAACAGATCTGCAGCAGTTCTCTTTGTGTCCTTGAGGGAGAGATGAGGCCGCCTGGGAAGTAAAGATCCTCCATGCAATCACTGCTTCTTAAGAAGAAAAAAAAACTTAATTACTTTCTCAGAGTGGCATGCACCTGTGTGTAGGGTATCGAAACGGGAGGCACAGGTAGCGTTTTGCTATCTGGGGACATTGGGCATCTTTTGACAAGATGGCAGAATTGCCATCGCTTGGGCTTGTGAATATAAAACGATATGAAAGTGTTTGGGACTGGATGTTAGCTGCTCAGAACACACTGGGTAGGCGATGGCGGAACACAGAGCATGTTAGCACTCCACCGAAAACGGAGTGCCTATCAACATCTTTAGCTGCAAGTGTCCGTTAACGATTCTGTAACCTCAGACAGTCTGCCTTTCCTCCTGCCGCCTCTGATAGCTGCTGTAGGTGTGCTGGTCTCATTGCTTTGTTGTAACAATGAAGTAAGGAATTCAGATAAAGTGCTGGGACCATGTGGCTAATTTTGCTCTGCTTCTGAATTCTGCCACGGTATATAGTGAACAAAACACAGGAAAGTCGATACATGCTTGCCAATAATTTTTGGTTGAAGAGTCCCCCTCCCCCATGGAAGTTCCATGCCAAAATGCCACCGAAAAATGTGAGAATTTCCTTGAGTTGTGGGCTTTAGAAGTTGATCAGAAAGCTGGAGGGCCGTTCTTTTTACTCTCTAATATCAGTAATGGGTTTCATTATATTCCATACATGGGCACGGTATGTTTTGATTTCATTCACCTCCCTCTCTTGTCCTTTCCCACTCCTGCTGTTCTCCCCTACTCGTCCCAACTAGTCCCAGAACCTTGTGTTGCTTCGTAGAAAGAAGAGTAAGGGGGAAAGATCGGGATTCATTTTTTAAAGTCCATATCCACGGCTTTCCTTAGTCCAGATCTAGTCACGAAATTTTCTTTCAGAATTCCAAAAACCAATATGCCTGCCTTCCAAAGCTGACGCAAATACAATTTACACCAACTGCTGGGTGACTGGATGGGGCTACACGAAGGAAAGAGGTACAGCCTGACAGGTGAAATGTGCCAGTCTCACTCTTCCAGGGCAGCTCTTTGTGTTTGTTTACATCCATCCATCCATGCAATGTGATAAATCTAAGTCTTCTCCTAATTATGCTGCTCATTACTTAGGTAAAAATGCACAGATTCATATAGAGAGACACGTAGGCTGAAATATGGTTACCAGTATTTCGTAACAGAATTTGACACCATGAGAAGCATATATCTCTATTAATGTAGTGCATAGCCCGTTGTTTTAATGATTTTCACGATGTTGAAATAGTGGTGGGCATATAAACAATACTTTTGTTTCGGTTGTAACTACAATTGAGGCGTGTCTGTGACCCTTAGCAACAATGCTGCTAATGACACCACATTCCTGCATTTGGTACCTGCATCTAAAACTGAAGGGGGTGCTCAGCTTTACTTGGAATGTAGTGAACACAGAGGTTGGCTGCTCTCTCTCCTTTCCTCTGAGTTTATGGATGAGTCAACTGTTTGTGTGGGTCTGAAGTCAAGAGCGCCTGTGTGTTGAGAGTTGAACTATGTTCCTAGAACTAAGCATGCTTCCTTTCTATATTACGTGCCAGATAAACACTATTAGATACGTTTGTGTCATTTGTACAAAAGGAGATGGCTGGCTGTGTCATTTCCGTGTTTCCTGAGACAGTCAGTACTGAATTCAATTAATTCCCATCTTTTACTATGTTGCCTTGGCTACATATATATGGACACATATACACATACATGTAGTTATACATTCGTACATACATATGTGGAATATAGACATGGGTAGAAAATAAGTTATCTTTTGTGGTAGAACTTTGTTTATGGAAAGAACAAAATGCTTCTCCCGGTCTGATGTTTGGGATTTATTTTCATAAATTATATTATTTATTATATAATTTGAATTTATAAATTATAATTTATTTTATTATAATTTGCACCTGTAAAACAATAAAAGGCAAGAACATACAGGCATTTCTATTAATAATACAGATGTATGAAAGAACTTTTTTCTTTTCTGGTCGAGCCATCTGTTGATACAGGGGGATGGCAGAAGTCATAGAACCCAGCCTGTGGTAGCTTGATAGAGCTTCTCAAACACTTCATTAGAAGGAAGCCTCCACAGATTTCGCTCTCTCTCCCCCTCTCTTCCTCTCCATCTCCATCTTCCTCTCCCTGTCTCTCCTCTCCCTCTAACTATTTCTTTCCATTTTTCTCTCTCTTTCCCTCCTATCTCCCTATTTATTGTATTCCCTCTCTTTAAAGCTACTTCTTGATTGCTTTGTAGGTGAAATCGAAAATACTCTACAAAAGGCAACTATTCCTTTGGTACCAAATAAAGAATGTCAGAAAAAATACAGAGATTATGTTATAACCAAGCAGATGATCTGTGCTGGCTACAAAGAAGGCGGGACAGATGCTTGTAAGGTAATGTGCTAGACTGTGGAGAAAAAACAAACAAACAAACAAACAAACAAACAAAAAAAAACCTGATAGTTCACTGGAGATGGTTCATTCAAAAGCAAATTTTCCAAAATTACATTCTGTTATTTTCAGTTTTGAAGTTTCAGAATTAAATGATCTGAAGACTTCATCAATAACCTTTAACAACTTAAATATACATAATGCATATTATCTATTACTAATAATGGGCATATTAGAACCTGTACTTGGTGTCACGGGTATGTCACAATCAGTATGGGTGTATGCCATATTTAAGGACAATTTTATGTGCCATGGGCATGCTAAAATACAAGAAAGGTAGATTTATTTGAACTAGAGGTAAATATGCTAAATTTGTTGAGTTTATCTGAGAATGAGAGAGTGAACAAGTTGCTCTTGTAATCATCCACTTGTTTTTGTTTTTTTTTCATGGCTAATGGGGAGCAGGGAAATGGGGAAGCTGCACATGCGCATGCAAAGGCGTGACTGTAAAACGTTAAAGACGTTTGACTTTGAACAAGGGTCTCCTTCTTTGAGTCATCACAGTCAGAGTCACAGCTCTCTATCACTGTGTTGTTGTTTTTTTCCTACCCACTGTGACCCAGGGAGATTCCGGTGGCCCCTTAGTTTGTAAACACAATGGAAGGTGGCAGTTGGTGGGCATCACCAGCTGGGGTGAAGGCTGTGCTCGCAGGGATCAGCCGGGAGTCTACACCAAAGTTGCTGAGTACATGGACTGGATATTGGAGAAGACGCAGAGCAGCGATGGAAGCACTCTGGAGATACTTCCAGCATGAGGAGACTGTAGAGCAAAGAGCCCAGCAGGCACCAGCTTTACCTCCTGGTGTCAGGCCAAGCTTAGAGCCCCAGAATTCTCTCCAAAATGTAAATGATGATGTCTACCTCACATCCTTGTCATGGGATTAAAAACACAAGACAGTGTCTTGCTCAAGTGTGTTTCTTGCCTTGAATAACAGGAACCCCAAGGGGAACTATCCAAAGAACACCAAACTTGTTTGGAAATAAAATGGTCAAAGGGTTTTATGAGATAGTGAACTGTCTGGATGTGGAGCAGCTGGAAACAAGACTCTGGATCCTAGCGCAGTCTGGGGGACCATTTTCATGTAACTGCTGGATCTCAGCAGATCCCTAGTTACCTTTTGTCCCCAGTGGCCATTTGCTTGTTAGAAACTGATGCTGCTCTTTCATTTGGAGAAAAGAACTGGGAAACCTGCTTCTTTTCAGTGGATGGAAGAGATCTTTGTAACATCTCCTTTACAATAAAAATGATGGTCTACTTGACCCTGAAGGGACAGAGCACCTATCCTACTAAACCACCTTTCTGGCCATTGCTTCATGGTCTTGGCTACATATGGGTGTTAAGACCTGTAAGGCAATATTTTTTCCTGTTGTGTGCAGCTCCTGCAATGGGCTTATCACCCAGTACTAACTCAGGGTGGGGAACCTGATGGGAATCTCCCAGGGAACCCTGGTAGTTCAGTTGATACTGCATTCTGCAATAGCAATCCATGAAGTGTCATCAGATGTAAGGTGTTGTATAAAATCCAGGCTTGCAACTGAGTTGAAAATAAAAAGTGGTCTTGGCATGAGTGACATCATTCCTCAGGCAAGACAAATTCCCAGCTTGCCAGTGCTCCCTAAGTGGATCGTGTGTGCTCAGCTCCATTTATTTAAGCTGATTAATATTTAGACAGACATTTAGACAGCTATTTACAAAGTATTGTGCAAGTTAAGTGGACAGAGAGAAAAGCGAAACTTTACAGAGAGGATTAAACTTTTCCTTGCACATTTGTTGAATAGTGCAGAGGATTAAATATGGAAGAGCTCGTGGCTTATCCACAGAATTCACGATGGGAAGTGGAGGAGGTAGGAATGACCCCGGGAGCCAATGGATTTTGTAAAATCTGGCTGGATTCCTATAATTTCTCTTTAAAGCATGTAGCTCCAACTTTTACTTTTGTATGCAATAAACACTTTTGTCTTAATCAGTGTGGATGTTGTCTTATATTTAACAGGAAAGAAGTGGTTCTCAATGAAAATATGTGTCTCGGGGTGTTGATAACCCTAACAGGTGTTCACACAAGGTGTCAGAGTTCTTACTGGATAAAACTTTGGGCTTCGGTTTCTCCAGGGATAGCTTCAATTGGACAAAACAATGTTTCGAAATGTGGGGTTTTCCTATGGCATGAAGTGTTATTATAAAGCTGCCAACTGGAGTCCAGTTGGACTGAAATGCTCTATTTTTTTTATCACGTACAAGGTAAACAAAAGAACTCATGTTTACACTCGGAGCCTCATGAGGCTAACACGTGCTTTATGGGAAAATGAGAGTGTTGAATGGCATCACGTTCACAGGACAGAGGGAAGACAGGAGGCCCTAGATCTTTGGCAGGTCTATCCAAGAAAGGGCCAGCTCTGGGAAGAAGGACTGTTGTTCTTCCCATGTCGGACATGGGGACACACAGCAAGCATCTACTCACTCAAACACACCTTTCAGAAACACACTTCCAGAGCTCAGCCCAAAGCTCCGTGGGCTGTCTCTACTCTTGGTCTTCTTTTCTTGTAGTTCTTGTCTGTGCCTATCTGCTCTACTTAACAGTGAGCAGCTATGGAGGAGGCTCACTCTGTCTCTGTCTCTCTCTTCCATCAGCACTGCGAACGAATAGGAGTGCAGCAGATACCTCCTTTTAGATTTACTTTTATCTTTGTTGATGTGTATGTGTGATTGCGTGCCACGTGGGTGCTGATGACCAACAGCAACAGGTCAAAAAGTAACATCTGGATAACTGCCTTCCAACAGAACAAAATAAGCAGAGGAGTACTTCATGCCAAGATCTCCTCAAAGCTATACACATACATACATGCTCACATACATGTGCACACGCACACACATACACAGGCACACAAACACACACGCCCTCAAACACAAACCCAACCCACGCTCTTACGCCATTGCTCACCCTAACTTCCTGCCCCAGCAAAAAACGTTCTCATGTCTGTGTGTGTGTGTGTTGCATGTCCTTTTCTTATTTCCCTAGCAAGTTCCTCCTTTCCCCGCCTGCGCTTCGTTCTTTCTGATGGAGTGTTTTAAAGGGCTGCCTAGCATTTCTCACCCTGGCTCATCTCTCCTACAAAGGCATGGCTAGCTGACAGGTTCCATATCTATTCAGAAATCCCCCAGTGGCATGTCTATGAAACACAGAGAGTGTCCCCAAATATTGGAATACTGAAAGTGGTCTGTTTCAGAAGCTGACGTCGGCACTCTGTCCCTGAACTATGTCCCTGTTTCCCTTGGTACACACGACCTCAGAGGACCCATTCCTGTTCTGGTCTTCAGAAGAGTTTCTTAATTATAGTTCACTTGTAAATATGAGCTTGTACTTCACTTTTCTATAGAAAATTGGGAGTCTCTTTAGAACCTTCAGTTATCTTTCTCTGGAAGTTACTTAAATCACACCTTTAAAAAACCATGTATTTGTTTATGAGTATCTGTCACAAAGCATCCTCGGAGCCTGCAGAGCTCAGTTCTGTGCCTTCCATTATGGTGATCACTGAGATAAAAGTTAGACCATTAGTCTTGGTGGCAGGCATCTTTACCGCTGGTCACCTTGTCGGTCCTAAAGCAGACTCTTAATGAGTTTTTGTCTTGGTGTGTGTGTGTGTGTGTGTGTGTGTGTGTGTGTGTGTTGATGAGGTAGCAAGAGACCATGAAGTACTCCTTACCGTTAGTGTTTTTGTTTTGTTCTGGCCACAAGGTATCTCTATTTATGTAGTCCAGGCTGTCTTGCAGCTAGCTCACTATGTAGGTCTGGCTGGCCTTGAACTCACAGCCATTCATATGCCTCTGCCTCCCAGTGCTGAGATTAACAGGTGTGTGCCACCCCATCTGGCTAGTTACTGTTTAATATTAAAAATGAGAGACATGGAGGTCAGCGGAACAAAGCAAATGTCTGAGTACCCATCAGCCAGCTCTCTCGTCATTTATTTTTGTTCCCGTGGCCTGACCTGTAACTGAATAAGTCTGGTAACAGAACACAAAGCGTCATGTTTTCCAAAGAATACTTGATCCCTCTTCACGCTCAAGGGTAGAGATACCTTAATGGAAGTAGCTTAACAGCTGTGTAGAAGTGGCTTTCCTTGCCATAAACTGCAACTGCAAAATTCCCTACCCTTGGGAGGCTCCTGTATGTACAAGGGTCTCATCCTTCAGGGAACCTCTCAGCTTTATTATTGTTTGTGGCGTAATGGCACATGCCACTTTGTACTTCTGCCTCTGAGTCTCAGGGAGCCCGCAAAGAAGCCCTGCGAGAACTATCTATCACCCTAGATTTCTTTTTCCACTGTCAGTATTTGCAAATAGGTAACAGACAGATGAGTGTTGCTCCTCAGAGCTAATCGTGTCGGCACAGACTTCTGAAAGGGTGATGATTACACAAAGGGAAACTGGCCACGCGAGAGCAAGACAACGGCAATCCATCTGTGTGCTTGGTCTCCAGTCCCCAGCCTCCAGCCTCCCTCTCCCAGCTTTCAGCCCCCCACATCAAGCCCTCATCATCCTGCCTCTAGCTCCCTTCACTCTACTGTGAAGCCCCTACTCCATCTGATTTCTTTGTTTGCTTTGTCTGCTCAGATTGCAGTTGAGCTGGAACTCACGGTGAGCAGCTGGTTTTGAAAGCATTGGTGTGTACACCTTTGGCAGGCAGGCACCCTCAGTCTGGGTTTGTCCACCTGCTAAGGCACACAGGCAGTCTCAGCTTCTCCGGCCGTCTCGGTGTAAATTGCTCATTTGGACATCTGGTAGAAAGAAAGCACACGAGGTTGGTATGTCGAAAGAGCTAGCCTCTCTTCTGAGGTAGGTTTCAGTAGCAGGGACCAAAAGGACATTCCCAGACACCAGACACACTGTGCACGCCGTGCAAAGACAGGATGTCACATGACAGAGGAAAGTAGGATAAGTAAACATTTAAGTAACGGTGTCCTACACAGAAAAGAACAAGGCTAAGGCGAAGAAAGAAAAGTCCACCGAGGCCTACAGCAGAGGCAGGTACGGCTTCAAAGCTGAATGAACATTTCTCTCAAGCTCTTATGCCTATTAATGTCCCCGCTTCTGCAATGAGAGCTTAGTTAGTTGTTTTTTGGCTGTTTTTTTTGTTTGTTTGTTTGTTTGTTTGTTTAGTAGAGAAAGCTTGATTTTCTTAATGTATCTGACTTCACATTGTAGATATAATTAATCAGCCTCTACAGTCAGTTTGAGAGGCAGAATGAAGACCAATGTTTGTAGTCAGTAAGTATTTTTCAAGGAAAAAAAAAGATTCTAGAGCAAGAAAGGAACAGGATATGAGGTTCAGTGTGTGTGTGTGTGTGTGTGTGTATGAACAGCCTGTTCAGCATTTA